ACAGATGAGCACATTCACTGATCTATAAATGCTTGCATACATGTCACCATCCTCCCACTAAGCCAGTGAAATAGATCAATTTAAGCTAATTTCTGAGCTGAAGAAGACCTGGTTTTGCCTTCACTTTTACATCAGGCATTTTACCAAAGCCATTTCTTCAATAAAGCTTGACTACTCAGATTTAGCTTTAAGCAACTCAAACCTTGCTTGTAACATTTCTATTAATTAATTTTAGAGATAATGTAAGCAGAACTTACATCTCTACATCAAAATCTGCCAGTTTTCCAGCAGAATGGATTTACTTTGCTCATCCAAAGACTTTCCCAAAATACGGAAAAATCTCAGGTTTGGATACATGGTATGAATCACCTCAGACTCTTTTATTTCTCTCCAAAATGCTTTAATATTATAATGAAATGGTCTGGGATCTTTTTTTTTTTTCCCCTTGCTGAATTAAAAAAAAATAAAAATCATGTGATTGTTTCGCTGTAAAAGAAAGATGCCACATTACAAATCCTTTTGGTTTTGGGAAAAAGAAAATTTGCCTTGCTCTACAGCATAACTTCAATCACATCTAAAACTCACATAGACATGAGTGACATCAGGGAACACCTGATTTGAGATAAGTGTCTGTGACTTCTTCAAGTTCTGGCCACACATAACTTCAGCTTAGAATCTCGTATTTAGTAACACAAAAGTTAACACAACTGCAAGCCTGTTAAACAAATGAAGTACAAGGCCCGTTTTCAGTTTGACTCAATATCTTTTTCCACCCCTTCATTCTTGTTTAAACTGATATCTAGTCAGTACTGTTTCATTCAAACCATAGCCTTTTAAACTTGATGGAGAAGATGGAAGCCTCCCACCACCTGGATCAGGTGAAAAAAAAAAGAAAATTCATCCAGTTTATATGCTGCTGTCTGAAGCCAATATAGACAAAATAAAGTTTCTTATCTATTTGTTTAAATAAAAGGCATTAATTTTTCTTGATGTGGTCTTCAATTTATTCAAGAGTGTCCATTTATCACTTTCTATATGAAAGGTATGGCTATGATTAGCAAGATCAATAGTCACCAAAGCTCTTTAAGCAAGGTTTAGCAAATGCGTACTCAAGGCATATACAGCTTGGCTACTAAAATTATCCTGGGTCATAGGATTATAAATTACATCTTGATCTATGGCTCCCATTTCATTTAACTAAACAGATGTGAAATTCCTGCCCCTAGAGTCAGTGACACTGGCCAAAATTCAAACCCTGGAAGTTGTCCAGGTTGTACAGTGTATAGAAAACATTTCTCATTGATTTTCAGACAGAAGGAAAAAGTGTTAAGATAAAATGCTTTGTTGGAGAGGATTTCACAGCACAATGCTGTACTGAGAAAAATTATTTCCTGCTCTTAATACACCGATAGCAAGGAACGTACAAGCATGCAAGGAGGATGCTCAAACACCTTCATCAGAGGGACAGGTTAGTGCAAGTTAGTACAAGTTAGTACAAGTTAGACATCCAATACACTGTTTAATCTAATTTAAAAGTAAAAAACTAGGCAAAGGTATTTGTACTTCAGACAATTTTCAGCAGATCTAAGTCTTTTTATACACATCTGAGACAGAATCAGATCGGTCTGTAATGTTCCCTAGAGACTAGAGAAATCAATAGACAAGGCCGTAATGAATTCACAAGACAATTTTGTCACTAGAAAACCTCGTAAGCAGCCAAGAGTTTAATTCTTACAAGTAGTGGGAATTGCTATCATGCATCTAGCACCTTAGACTGAAATGTAATTTTTAGAATTAAAAATGTTAGTAGAATGTTACATTGCACACCATTAGGATTAACTTCTTGCTGACTTGGAAAATCAGTAGATTGGGCAGGATTTTGCTTTCTCCCCCTTAATCCCTCTACAGTTATCAAATCCAAGTAAAAATTAATTTTTTCATTCATTTCAGATGCCCTACAGAGGTCTTCAACTATCATCTTGCATATACCAATATGCTGCATGTACCTGCATAGAAAAGAGATAACTAGTATCTTTTTGTCCTTGTACATAGGCCTAAATCAGTAACTGTAGTGCAAAAAAACCCCCTTTGTTTAGACCAAAGTTATGATTTTGAAATATTTACCTGAAAGGAGGGCAACATACGCTCGTTCAAGTATTAGCCAGGTAGCACTGATACATACACTCAAACCATCAAGTGTATGGTCACTAGAACAACTCTGAGTGAAAATCAAGCAAAATCATTCCTTTTTTTCTTCACCGCTTAAGTATCTTCCTTCTGTATAAAAGAACATACCAGCATTCAAGTATATTTTTAGAGATGTTACTTTTCCCACATCTTTTTCTTCACACTCTTACCTGAATTTGTAGTCCCTTGTATCACATTCTTTTCACCTATATTGTCAGGTATAGCAACCAGTGCCACAAACTGGATTAAAAGGCATTCGTTTTAGTTGTCACTGATGTTAAATAATAAACACTGATCTGGCAGGTTTAAAAAGAAGAATGAATGGATATAAATGTAATGAGGCTTCAGAAATGAAACCAACTATCAGTATTATTAATCTTGTTTTCACAATGGACATTCTGTGAAATAGAAAGGAAGTTTATTTTCTCTGGAGAGCCTTGATGAAAATCAGGATTCTTATTAATCAAATACCTTTTTTTTTTTTTTTTTTTTTTTTTTTTTAATTAAAAGAGAAGATAGAGTGCATGCTTACTCTCATATCCCTTATTCATCATCTCATTTCCCAATTCATCCTCAGGCAAGCACATTCGGTAGATTAGGCCTGCACTAGAAAAAAATCATGTTCATATTTTTTCTCTCTTTAGAAACCATCAAAACTGAAGCATATCCTGAAAAGTATTAAAATAAAGCAGCCCTGCCTTACCTACACACAAAGGAACTCTTAATTAAAACTAATGAAAGACAGAAGAAAAAGCAATAATACAGTATCAAGGGACAGGTAGATGAGAAGGAAGTTTTCAGTCCAAGATATTTAATATTTTAATTGATTATCTGGAAGAAATAAAAACCTGCATGTTATGAGTCTGATTCTAACCCTATGAAAGTCAGTGGCAAAAAGCCCAGTGAGTTCAACAGGGACAAGATGAAGCTCTAAGTGAATTAGGAGCTGACTGCAGATAAAATAGGTTACGTTCTTCCGTTCATCTTCCAATTTTAGCTGAAAGAAATAAGAAAGATTTATTGAAATCTGTCACAGAGGCAGGTAATTGAGTTTGTGTTGAGATGGATCAAAAGAAATAAGTACTTGTGAGGAAAGTAACTTCGACTATAAATTCATTGATATAACAATGCTGGACACTGAGCTTTCTGATAGAAATGGATTGCCCTACTGAAGAGTTTAAACCCTGTCCTGAACTAAAACCTGAGGTGTCTAAATACCTTGCTGATAAGGTAGATCTTTTTAAACACAATAAATATTGAGCCTTTCTCTGAAAATAAAAATGTAGAATTGGCTGAGAGAAAAAGGTACATCTTGTGCTTACAGCTCCCTCTGCCAGTCAGTGCTTGCTGTAAGTTCACATAAGATGTAAGTTCACATAAGGAGGACCTTCCCAAAGAAACCTTCACTCCCTTTTACTGCATGCAAGATGATTTATCAGCTGTTACTAGTGAAAGCGCATTAATAATAGAACTGGAAAAGACCTTAATTTCCCTTTGCCAACAACATCTCAGGGTCTCATTTCTCCAGCTGCTACTGGTGGCTGCCACCTTTTTGACTTTGGTCATCTTGTGAGAGTGACTGAGCTGAGAGGAAGGGAGACTTGCTATCTAAGACATATGTTGGGGAGCAGCCCTTCTACAGGGATTTTTCTTCCAGCCCTCAGAAGCAGGAGCTCCCATAATCTGCTGGAATAGCAGAACTGAGACATGGAATGACAGATGCAATATCAGAGCCTCCCTTCAACTGGAAGGTTTCAGATAATGTTACCTGAAACTGTGAATTCAAGTAACTTAATGGAAATAATTCTAAAACTAATTGCAAGTGCAACACTAGCTGTTCTTGCATAATTCTCTGTTAAATTACTCTTGTGAAAACTATTCCTTTTCTGTTTAAAGACAACCATTCATTAGAAAAAGAGGGAAACTGAAGGGAGAGGCATAAGGAAGAGTCAACTCCTTGACCCAGTGCTTAGAGGACATTTTTTTTCAAGTGGAAGATTAAGCTTGAAACCTCCCATATCAGTTTCAGGAGAGACCAATTATGTTTCATGAAAACTAATACAAATGAACAGTCACCCACTAATAAGTTAGATGAACGTCAGAGAGCTTGAATCTGCCTTTCATATTCTTTTGATGGCATTAAAAGGAGTACTTTTGCAGAAGAGGGACTTTATTTAAGTGCTTTGGTTTCTGATGTACAATAGGGTTCAGGAGTCAAACAATTCTCTAGAATTTTTATTTTTTTTTTTTGACAAAGCTGTTTCCTTCCCTACTCTCCCTACAGTGGCACAGACTTGAGGAAATGCCAAGTACCCATCATTCCCTTTGGCTCCTGCTGTATTTATCCCAGAAAGGGTCCAACCTATCCAAGATCTTCTTGAAGCAAGATTTGGCTTTGAGACATTACATACCTTTGACTAACAGCTTTTAACATTCATTAAGAGCGACTGAAAGTCACAAAAAAACAACAAAACACAAATTAAGTGTGCAGTTTCTTTAGTCATGATCTGCTAGAACAGATGTTTTCTAAGCATCATGACATTTTAACTGCATCATTTTTTTCCCCCAGAATAAAACACTACCAGCATCTTCAGAAGGCAAACTGATAAATCTTTTAAATTTATGTTCATCATCATAGCAATTGAAATACATTTTGTAATGCCAAGTATGAAATATTCTGGAAATGGATTAAAGCCTTTCTTTGCATTTCTCTGTCCAAATTCTTTGTGTAATATCGGTCCAAATACTTGCAGCATCAGCTTGGGCACATTTGCAGTTTTCAGCAATCTGATGACTGCTTATTGTCATCTGGGGACATATAAGCTCTTGTGTTCATCATGGAGTATCCACGTACCTGGGAGATATGCAGGCTAAGTGATGAAAATCATGCTGTATTAGGAAACTGATTGCACACGTCAGTGTATCCACCACCTTTTTACAAATTAGACTGCATTAGTGACAGTCACTATATGCATAAATGGGGGAAGAGATTAATTACTTTTGTTCAAACTTGAGCTTCCTGAAAATTTTTAATCTGGAGTATGTTTCCTGTTGAAAACAGCAAAGGCAAAATGCTGTAATATTCTCATATCATGTTTATTGGATTTATGAATTTTATGAAACTTCAATAACAAGCTTTGGGGAGGCTTGCATAAGCATCAGCATTGCATGTTATGATTGAAAGCCTGTATCATCACAGAATTCTTCCCAAACAATACATCACCCAAGCAGTAGATGTAGAGATAAGCATTACTATTCTAATGAAAGAAAAAAATCTGGATTATGCTTTTGTTCTCCCTTTCTCCTTCACAATGCTTTTTATCATTTTAGACATTAGCATATGAAAAAGGAGAAATTCAAGCTCCTCAGAAATAACTCTGTACTGCCTTTTCACTAAAACGTGCTTTTCCAAGGTTCTGTAGATTGGATCCTCGAATGTGACCTTATATTACATCATTGCATTTTTCCCCATTTTCCAAACAATGCACTATGATTACAATACTGGCTAGGTGCCATAGTTCCGCAATGTTCTGCTAGCAACAGGCATTCCATAGTGTAATTCCTGTTTCAAAGTGATCTATAAAATACACAGAGCAATGTGTTGGATCTGTCTAGCTAACAGCTTTCAAAAGTATTTAGGAATGTAGAGTTCAAAATTCTTAGAACTAGAGGAAGCAAATATAACTAAAATGTTATCTGTCAATGCCTGATCCATGGTTAAAAACAAACCCCTTAAAATCACTGGAGGATTTACAGATTGTCCAAAAGGAACAGAAGTGACTCCACTCCATGGTATGCATGGTATACATTACTTTTATGCATAAGTGTAAAAGTGATTTATTTACTTACCACTGTTGGGGGGTTTGGATGTTGTTTTTTTTTCTTAGCAGCCTCCTCTGCTTTCCACTTTCTCTTGTATGTACTTTGAAACTGAGGATAATAAGGACTCTTTCCACATGGCAAAAATACAACTATGGCATAAACCTAGCTAGTTGGAACTTTTGGTTTTATTTGTCCCCTAACAGTAGAAGGATCCATGTGGCTACAGTGCTCAGATTGTTCTTCACACTGGGAAAATAGCAGTCTTCAGATGCAAAGATTTTCTTCTTTCTTCTGACCCAGCTGGTATGCATCAGTGACAAAAGTCAGCTCCAAAGTGGATAACACTTCCTGAGAGGCTTGGAGAGCTTTAAAATATTAATAACTGTCAGGGGTAAGGGTGGGGAGGGGAGGCAGGATACAAAAATTTAGATCTTCAGAGCTTCAGGCTCAAGCTAAATGTCATTTGAGCCATGGCTTTCAACAAGAAATACTTCAGATATGTGTTTATCAATGAACAGCTCTCAAGGATGATAAAGACAATCCAGAGTGACAGAATGTATTTTAAATTAAATTAGCTACCCTGTTATTTGTACTTTGACTGCTAAAATATAGAGACAGATACAGACAATATATAGTTAAGGCTTAACTTGCCTAAGTTCTCCTTCACCCATTAACTTCTGTTATTACCATCATAGCTGGAGGTGGGATATAGTGCTAACAAAGTGACAAGAGGTCTGTCATGAAGAGCATCGCCTCTGAATAATCAGTCCATGTAGTGTCATCAGCAACAGAGGGTGGTGAGACCACCTTCACAGACTGGATGACAAGATCCTGATTCAGGAACTAGACAAAAGCCGCAGTGAGAAAAGAAGTTTCCTATTGACTTCATTGGAGATTACCCCCTTGGTATGTAGCATCTTTGAACTATATGCCTTATAGTAAGGAAACCAAAGGGAGATGTTAAGTTGTGCAGTATTTCAGGGTAGTATTTACTAAGTTGAGAATTTCACACCATACTTCTAAACACTTTCACTACCATGATCTACTTGTGTTGTTTCTTGATGATTGCATTTTATACATCCTATTTAAACGTGGTGTTCAGTATGATGCACAGATTCAATAGAAAGGAGCCTGTGCAGTTGACTTATTCTGAGATAGAAGAACCACTCATTTTCTCAAACCATTAAAAAGTTCCTAAATGTTCCCTTTCTTCATATACTCCAAACAGATGTGTGTTTAAAGCTTTATGCTATATAAAGTTTATAACCCTGTTGAGATTTCCATAAAAGTTTATGCCTGTTGAGATTTCTGTCTTTTGATCAAAGCCACTTGAATAATAAAATCTTAGAGAACTAAAATCATGCAGAGCTTCCAGAGTACTTTCCTACTTTTATTTTTATGCATCTTTGATCTGATTGTTTTCCAGCAGCACATTGTTTCAACTAAACTCTAATGAGATCTGATAGCCTTTTTTGAAAAAGCAGTATATGTTACCACAGAAAATATTTTTTACTTTTTGAGTCCCCACCAAGATAAGCTACTGAATTGCAAAAGACATCCAATAGACAGATGCAGAGTGCAAAGTTTTCATTACAAAAGGTGGAGGAAGAGTAAACCCAAGAATTCTATCTGAATTTAAGGAAAAGGATCACAGATCTGAAAACCCTAGCATATATTATTATTATTATTATTATTATTATCATTATTATTATTAATAATAATAATAATAATAAATGTCACACTATCTTTGCTCCCTTCTGCTATGAACCGAAAGTTTCCTGTTAATATCACTCTTTTTCAACCACCAAGGTGATAACGCCATTAACAAATGGAGATGCCATATTCATATTATTTCCAATAATTTAAGATTTAAATTACTACTAGCTAACTAACACTCACTGTTTGCCTAGATCAGTGTAGACTTTCCACCAACACACTAGCAGTTAACAAGATCCTTTATGTCATCAAAGTTACTCAAATGACAACACAAATCTCTGGGACTGGATCTTTGCCATGCAACTTAGGTAGCAGCTGAAATTCCTCCTGCAGACGAAACTGTAATGTACTGTTGCATTACTAAAGAGATGCCAGATATGCTCAGAATAACAAACAAAATCACCACATGGGTGTTTTCTACACCAAAACAGCCAGTAGAATGTGGGAGTGGAAAAAGTTGAAAAGGAATTAATCATTTCTTCCATTTGGCAAAGAAAACTCAAAATGCAGAGACTTGACTCTGAAAAAAAAAAGACAACATTAATTGTTTCTGTCCAGCACATCTGTGTATTTAAAATGTCTGTCCTGAAATAAAGATTATCAGTTCCTTGTTACAGATTTTTAAATGTCATATATATAATTTTAAACTGGTGTACAGATATAAAATCATTCATATTCCTCAGCTGAACTTCATTTTATGATAATACAAATTTTTTTAGAAGAATGGGCGTTAGAATTGGGTTTGTATAGTAACCAAGTGTTCAGCTCTTAGTCTCGTAACTTTAAAATATTATTGCTGCATTGATCATTGGGACAATATGCTTGCTTTGGATTTCTGATGTTCTTTTTCATTGTTTTACCTCATTTTCTAACTTAGATGGGTCCATTAAGTATAGAGCTTTAAGTGTGCTTTGAATCGCTGAATTGACAAACAATGGGAAGGAGAAGCTCACCTAATGTTGAAAACTCTAGCATTAAGCAAGAAATGAGGACTGAATTTTTCCTTCCCCAATGTCAATTATATTCTGTGCTTCATTAAAGATGGTGAAAGCCATTTGCTTTCAACAATTGATTTCTCCTAATTAAAATTTTCACTGAACTCAGAAAGAGGCAGGATCTAGAGGGATGATGTGAATAGAGCATGAATCAGGACCTGTAGGTTTATTAGCAAAACCTCAGATGGAAGATGTCTTCATTTACTGATGCAGATGATGCAGCTGAATAGTTCATTTAACCAGATATATGTATCTTGCATCCGTGCAACCCCCCCCAATTATTATTATTATTTTACAATAGCTGCAGCAAGTGCCATAGATGCCTTTCCCATCCAACTTGATTAAATGCCAAGCAATCACTTTCCAGTGAACCCGCCATTTTAGAAATAGTTGAGTGTGTTTACTGTGTCTCACTGGAGATGAGGAGGACAGACTGGCAAACTTAAAAGGTCGGAAGTAACTAGATATTTGAGAGCTGTCCACTCCATGTGGCAGCACAAGACTGTCCCTATAGGATCAGTAAGTCCTCATCTGGCTACACTTGTGAAAGCAGCTGTCCAGTCTTTCCAGAACCCTGAACACAATCGGTACACACAGTTGTGGTATCCTGATCCCTGGGATAAAGGATTGTACTTCAGTCTTCCCTTATCTGGGCATGAAGCGATGTAATGCTGCTGCATGGTGTTGGTCAGGCCAGTTACTTTGGTAATACAATTTAAGCAATCTTGTTCTTTCCGTTTTTCATCATGGGCTGCTTAGATTGTGTCTCTACTCCTAGTTATGATTTGTTGCTTGAAGGGGTTGGTAGCTTCCCTTTTTCCCATAGTGACCTTGTTGGGAGATTGTAGATCAGCATGACTCCTTTCCTGGGAAAGAAAATGGAGGAAAGCAGCGACTTCTGCTTCTCCTGGTAGCTGATGCTCTTACCTTGCTGTTGATAGTCCTACCATACACTGGCAGGTGTTTGCTAGCCTGTGCAGCTCAAATGTGTTTTAATAGGCATGTGAAGGAAGCTAGGACAGGGATTTATGTTTTGTGGAGGTACATACTAATATAAAAAAAGCACAGGGAAAACAGAAACCCTTGAAACAAAATTTGGTTTGACCATGGTATAGTTATCGCTTGGAGAAGAAAAGGGGTAGCGGTGAGTTTCTCTTTGCAGTACATTTGAGGCGTGACCGTAGCAGGAGCAGGCATTCCAACTCAGAGGCAGACAGCCCAGACAACACTGATGCAGTCATTAAAATACAAATCCAGTATCCCTCAGCTCATATTCCAGTCCATACCAATACATCTTCACAGCCTTTGTTGTGCTGCATATATTAAAGGTAATTAAGATATGCTGCAATCACATGGTTTTATTTTGCTGATTATAGGCAAGGTAAGGTTAAGACGACTCTGAAGTGATAGGTGGGAAAGCGCCAGGTGGATGCAAGGGTAACACAAAGTCAGTGAGCTGATAGGATTTCAGCATTTTCGGTGAATTTGGAGAAGGGAACAGAACTAAACTCACTGTGGACAGTAATGAAAGGCAGAAGTGATAAAGATGTAAAATGATCATCAAAGAGACATGATGCTAAGGTAATGATGAGGAAGTGCTGTGAAGTCGTGAGTCCAGGACTTCACAACAAATGTTGAGTCAGGAATGAGGAGATAAAAGACTTCCAGATCAGACACAGTCTCCAGTATCTGTTTTGAATGGTGAAGTTTTCATCCTTTGTACCACTTAGCTCTTCAGCTGTGCTCCCTCAGCCAGAATATCTTTGTGGTAGCAGGGAGACAGCACATAAAGTAGGAGACAGGAAAACACAGAAGGCCAACTTCTTGTTCGCAGGAGTGTTCTATAAAACACAGGTATTACAGCTATCTGTTGGAGTTGGACATGGACAGTGCATTTTTATTTGGTGGCTAAAGAATTTATCTGTTGTAAATGTGTCTGTAAATTTGTGAACAGGTATGAGCAACAATCCTTCATACTCTTCTTCCAATTAAAGCATACCTTTCTCTGTTTCATATGCGCTTTTTTTCCCTTTTTTTTTTTTTTTTTTTTTTTTTGTGCTAGTAATTACTTTTGAGTGGGAAACCTTTCTTCTTTCCCTCCTGTTGATTACGTCATTGCTAGGTTCAAGACAGCATCTCCAGCATACTCCATCATAAAATGGATCAAAATAGAAGGATAAGGTACTAATATCTCTCAGTGCCTTTTTTTTTTTTTTTCCCGCCTTCAAACTGTTTTTAGAATGGGGAACATAGAAAAAGTTTACACTGAGGTTGTTTACAAAATGGACTTCCTGAGATTTTAAAATTATGCTGCAGAGAACACTTCACAAACTGAAAAGGCCGTATTTCCTGTAGTAGAGAAAAATAGTTGGGCGTGGTTGCTCACGCTGTCTTCTAAAAAGAAAAGTATATACATAACACTACACTCATGGGAAAAAGAAAAAAAAAAAAAAAGCAAAACTATGAACAACATGGCAATGCACTGTGATAACAAAAACTCATCTTTAAAAAATATATAAGAAATAAGCATACTGCCAACATGGAATACATCACACACATTGCGCCAGTCAAACCAAAATGGTCTAGTAACTGCCATTCTTAGTTTTACATTAAGGCAAACATGAGGGTAAACACATGAAACTAACACTACTAGTTTAGCTAATCCACAGCAATTTACTAAATTGTTACACAGAACACATGTAGCTGTGTTACTTTAACAAGTCAAAGTTTCTTTCCTTAAAATGGAAAAGGTGTAATAGAATAGGTTAAATTTCACTTATAGCATGTGGTCAAATACCAGTTTTGAGTATTCTCTTTACATGTAAGTGAACTTGAAGTTGCTTGTCTGTTTGAACTAGTTTGCTTGAACTGATTTCTCTTTTAAGAGTAGTTTCATAATAATAAAAAATACTCATAGGAAAGACAAACTGTTTACTTTCAGCAACAACCCCTTTTATTTTAATGTTTCAAATTTTATAGATCACATTAAGATATCCTACTATTGTGTGATACCAAACAAAGCTTGCCTTTAATGTTTGTAATATAATCGACTAGGCTATTATTTACACTGACTATATACAGAAAATATTAAATATTTCAATTATAATATTTTAATTGGGTCTGAATTTATTGTTGTCTATTTTTTTTTAATAGATAATTCTATAATTTCACCCTGTTTCCCCAGTATACACATATTTTGTCACTTACATTGATGGTTTTGTTTAAGGGTATGACTAGCTATTAGACAATGTTTCTAAAGGAGTTTCCAAGATCAGGTAAGCATTACCATTCTCTGTTTGACCTGTTCTATTTTGACAGATTTTTATGTTTCTCACAAATTTTTCCCTGATGATTTTTCTTTTTTTTTTTAAGAAAGCAAGAATGTGCATGCAACTTATTTATTAATAGCCATGTTTTCACCAGGTAAGTTCTCTCAGCCAACAATTCATGGAAGAAATCATAAAATGGATTTCATTGTGTGCTTCTCTAGGAGGGACTAGACCAACTGTTTCAGTGGGATTTAGGCACTTAAATATATAGCAACTTTAATATCCAAGGCTTCAGCAATTTTCTAGGTGACCAGTATAATTCTTTCAAAGCTAAATTCACATATTTAGATTTCTCCTTACATATTTATTTATACACTATCTCCATTAACAAATATTTATAAATATACACAAATGTGTGTGCATGTATATGCATTTCTTTCAACAAGTCTTTCATTCTTCATTGATTTTTTTAATGGATGCATGGATGCATCCATTTTAAGCATATGGCAAATAATGTAATATAATTAAGAAAGGATCATGAGAGAGGACTTGGAAAGACTAAGAAAAAAAACAGTGATAAAGTATATGAACTTGGAATGAGATTTTGATCAGGAAATGAACAATTAATGCATGCTAAAAATCCATGTAACTGAGAGATGACTCAATGACACCGAATGACTGCAAAGGATGGAGGACTCTTTTTTTGTAGCTACTATGTGATAACAAACAAATCAATCAAGCTTAAATTAAATTATGTAAAATACATGACAAATACAGAGTACAAAAAAGAGGCAAATACCTGAAACCCTTCTTCTTCTCATGTCATTCCTACATCACATTTGTAGACATTGTTTTGCAGAAATCAGTTTCCCTGTATTTTTAATTATGTAAAATATGTGCTATATATTTAAATAGATGATATAGATCGCCTTATATTTTATGTCAGTCTTTCAGGTTTTCTCTTTTCATACTTTGGGAAGTTCCATGGAATTCTTCCCCCTTTTTCAATGAAGCTAGCAACATTTTTATAAAGAAAAACATAACCATGAATGACACATTATGTTTAAGAAGGAACTGGGATTTGTTTTGAAACAGAATTTGGAAGATAACACTTTAAATAGATAACAAAACTATGAATTTATGCATAGTTATTACATTCTTAAATGAGGAGGTTTTCAACTTTACATAATTGTGGCTTCTCAACCTACAACAATTCCTGGACTTTAGCTCTCAGTTTTGGTTTTGGTGCCAGTTGATAATGTTTATAGCTTGAATTATGAATATAACTTTACCTTGCATAGGAAGTGGTTTATATCTGTATCTCTAAAACTGGAGCCCAGCCATAACGTTTGTGTAACTGATAAAAATCTGCTACACTGGAGCAAACTGTCGTCAATATAAATTACCTGAAGAGTACGGAATTGAACAAAAAGATTATCACAAACCTTTTAACTGAAATTAGGTGATCAACTTTATGTATTATGAATTCATTTAGATCTTAAAAAATTAATGTATTTTGCTTTTCAGTAAGTGAGGGATGAGAGACAGCTGATTCGCTGATGTATCTGGTTTTCAAGTTCCTAGAAGCTACATTTTGAGTTTAATCTTCTGACTTACACAAGATATTTAAATTTGCTAAAAGAAAACATTGCCATTAAACTCAAGGTAAGAAATTATTATACATTGTTTTATGTATCTTTATATAAAAAGTTACAAGTAGCAAGCATATGACACAGAAATGGAACAGTAACAGCAATAATTGTGAATGCATGCTTTTTACAATGTATCTAATAAAGGGATTTTTGCCAACTCAAATATTCAGTAACATACATGCAGATTATTTTCTCAATGTCAAATTCAGTCATATTGCTAGATGCTTATCCAACAAACATTTCTATTGAAGTGATTATGAATGGCTAAATACCTGATTTCAATAAATTGTTCCTGAAATTGGGAATAAACTTGCAACAAAAAGAAGAGAGAAAAAGAAAAGGAGAAATGACCGATAAGCATAATAACCAAAGTCTTATTGCCTTCTAGTAATTTTACTCAACACTGCTGAATTTTGTCATGTTATGAGAATAGCTGGTCAGAGAGTCCATAAAACCTCTAGCTGGTGTTTCCAAGGACGATAGTTTCACATTTCATTGTAGCATGTTCAAAATCACCAGGTGCGCACTATTCTCAAGCAGTCTATATAATGAAAACAATGTACATATAACAAAAGTTCAATGTAAATCTTCTTCCACATATCACACAACATACAAGTAAATAACAGACATAAAATATATAAACTGAAACAAAACTAGGCTAAAAAAAAAAAAAAAAAAAAAAAAAAAAAAAAAAGGACAGTCTCAGTTAGGAGCTAATTTCTTCTTCAAGTTTGCAGCAAATCTCCAAATGTATTTAAAAACTAAGGAACACTTAGTGGCCAGCAACCAAATTGCAAAAGAATCATATTATTGTGTAATGGGAGTATCTTGCTAAGGAAGTAAGATATGTCTGTACTTCTTAGGTTTGGATAAAGGCAATGAAACGAAACTAGAAACATGTCCACTCTCTCTTTCAGACAGCTGAAATAATTCACTATAGATTTTTCCACTCAGAGTTTGCATGACTGCATGAATAGTTGTCTGAAAGCAAAACAAAGTTAAAATATGTTCTCTCCGTGAGGAAAAATACAGAAAAATATTTACTTAAACTATGTAGAAGCAATAAAAGCATTAAAGGTTTCTTTCCCAGTAAAATTGCTGTATACATATATACACAAATAACCATGTATATACACATATCTGTTTATATATATATATACACATATACATATATAAATTGACAGATTAGCAGCTATCTATAATTTCATTATAAATATCTGAGATTATGTTTATTGCGATTTAACACTGATAAATTACACAAAATTAAAATCCTAGGAAAAGACTCAAAAATTGAAGTTGAATTTGCAGACATTAACATTAACTCTACAGAATCTCTGTCAGTACTAACGCACATCCCTCCCCTGACACTTCAAAAGGTTGAGTGAATAAAATGAGCTGAAAACTTGTAATTCCACATCTTCCTGGCTGGGGTTAGATTGCCAAGTTTTACATACTAATTCACATGCTGAATTTTATGTTCAAAAAATAAAAAATAAACACCAGAGCCATGCAAGAGATCTGTCTTTATAATGTGTTTGGAATGAAAGTTATATTTAGCTAGGGGATGACTTTAGTACTGTCAAGAATAAGGAATTAAGAGATTTTGCTTTAGTTTACAATACTAAAGTTGTCATTGTCTTTCATTTTTCTCTGTATTCAAACGTGGCTCTCTCCATAAAAGGTGATATGTAACTTGAGAATTAACATGCATTTCAGCAATATAACAAATAAAATGAAAAGCAACAGATGGTTCAATTGTTTTATAGGTATGTTTACTTACCTCAAGTTTGTCTCTTAGACCCTAGTTGTGTTGTACTCAGACTCATGTTTGCTTAGAGACCCAATGAGGCAGAACCTGGAATGTTATGGCTATTTCATTCAAAATAATAATGTTTGTATAGAAAAAAAGAAATATATGCATATAGATACTTAATAAACAGTATACCTTGATAATATGAGCAATAGTCATGAAGTCGTTTACATTGGCATGCTGTTAGATTAAAATAGTAAAATAACTTTCTTTTAAGAGACAGAAATTCCTTAATGTAAAAAGAAAATATGAAGGGCATGTAAACAGTCACAAGAAGTGCGTAAATAATGCATGCAAGAGAAAACACATATATATCAAAAGTTTCTGTGTTCTTTTTCAAATAAATTGTTCATAAATGTTTATGTTTTTCTTTTTCTTTTACTTGTAAACTTTTAATCATCCATATTTACAGTCATTCAAAGTGCAATATACAGTAGAAATAACTCTTTTATTAAAAATATCATGCTTGACTTTTTTTTTATTGATTAGAAAGATTCATTTTAACTACATTCTTATATGCAAATATATGAATATTCTCTATTCACTATTCTGTCTCATGTTCTAATTGAGATAAAGATATATGTTAATATAACAAGCCAAGATACTGTGGTTACTAATGGAACAGACACAGTAAAGTTTTGCAAATATTGTAATTCATTATAGAAAAGATTATGTTTTATGAGAAAAGGGGTTTCCTTACCCCAGGTTTTTGTTTATCATTATTGTGTCATGCATCAAATAGATATATGTTTGGGATTTTTTTTATTAATGTATTGATTTAAAGATGTTAGATCAACAGTGGATGATACTCAAGGCCACCTCAGTTACAAGGAAACCACATGTATGTGGCTCTTTCAAAAACTAGGTTCACACAAAATCTTCTTTGGTTTTTAACAATTGTACCTGTTTTCTGTTGACCTGTGTGTGTATGCATGTGGGTACATGTAAAATAGTAAAAGAAAAAGAAAGATATAAAGTATACAGGTAAAGCTGAGATACAGGATCCTTCAGGAAACAGAGGCAGAGAAGAGAGAAAGAGAGACAGGAAGAGAGAGAGATGCTATCAGGAAACAGAAATTTAAACAATAAATAAAGAAGAAAGAAAATATGTGTTTACTGAATAAAGAGTGAATATGTTTGGGCAATCAAGTCCTTACACAATAGTCTTCATCAAAAATCTATTGATACTGACCGCTGAACAGCTTTATCATGTCTGGACAGCCTGTGACTTGTGGTTGGTACCTCTTCGATTTCGTCTATCTCACACGCATCTGCAGCATCTTGTGAGTAGCTATGCTTCATGACAAGGATATTTCTCCTGTTCATGGGCTGAATGAGTGGTTTTACAGGCTGGGGTTGTATTTCTGTCAAGACAGAAGCATCTCTTGTGCTGAGGTTACTACGGCTGCCCTTAATGCTAGACACTTGTGATCCACAGTGATGGTCATGAATGCATTTTGAAGATGATCTCCGCAGTTTATGATAATTTTCAAAGTCATCTGCAATATCAGCAAGGTCAGCTGTAGGCCCTGTCCCTCTGAGGGTGCATAACTCATAATGAGGAGGCTCAAACACCTCCTGGAACACTGTTTGATCAAAGTCTGTTTTCCTTTGGACAAATTTTTTACGAGGCTGCTTGATCTGTACTATAACAGAGATAACAATGAGGATGATCACAATGCAAGAAGTCACCCCAATTATAGTCCCACTGGTATTGGTAAGTTGGTCCAATAGGTTAGCTTTTCTTTTTTCTGTGTGACAGGAGAAAAAAAAAAAAAAAGCACAGCATTAATTGCAGTTCAAGAATAAAAACAACCACGATGGGTTCACAGATTACTGCCAAACTGAGCCTAGTCTATGTCTGTGTTTACTTAATCAATCTCTCTGACAAAAAGAAAAAGGAAAAAATCAGGTATTCGTGAAAGCCAAATAAACAACACACAGGTCCTCTGTGTGCCTATTCATTTGGAAAGTGATTTATTCAGGGTATGTTACAAGCTTAATTAGATAAAAGAATTATTTATGCTTTTTATAAAAAGCAACCACCATAACAAGCAGATGGCTTTAGTGTCACCTCTGAATTCCATTTGCCTGCTAAAGCCCCCAAGACTGTTACAGACATTCTCTTCATTATTTTCTGTCTCTTCCAGTAAATATATGCAACTAGAACATTAGCACCAATGAAAGAGCAAGACTTTACAGGATTTAAGAAAAAATTCTTCCTTGCATTGGGAACTTCCACTGAAGTTCTGATATTTATGAGCTGACTGGGACTGCTGACAGTATTAAATGAAAAAGCTAAATCAGGAGAAAATAGAAAAGTTATTCAAACTGAGGTTTCAGAAATAAAAAATAATAATAATAAAAAAAAAGCATGCAAGTTGTTCCTTTTGTTCCTGGCCTATTAAATACCACAACTTTTCTAAACATCCAGTAAAATCCAAAACCTGATCCTACATATTATCCTTTACCCAGGGGCCTCTAGGAAGTCAACCAGCAAATTAGAAGAAAATCAGAGAATATGCAGTAAAACAATAAAAAGAAAACCAGTTTCACCCTACTGGTGTGTAGATTTCTCTGTGATTTGCTTTCAAATGGCTGCAGACACATTGAGACGGTGACTGAGCTTTGTAGAAATCCAAGCTGAAAGCATTTACATCAGTCTCTCACAGGCATAGCAAGACGCCACAAACGTATCAACACCTACTTTTGTGTAAGTTTTCCTAGCGACCTTAAACATATCAAAGGACTTAATAAAAAGTCTTTGAAGTGAAAGTTATTGGCACCAAAATAATAACATCCATCTCTTCATAATCTCATAGATACCAAAAATTAACTTCTCAGTACTCCCCACTCCCTATTCTTGTAGATTCACCTAAGGTTTCCCTAATGGACTGACACAGACTTTGGGGAAGTAAGAGAGGTAGAAAAAGCAACACAGCAGCAAACAACCTTTTTACTGGGATCAACAAACCTCCTTTTTCTAGTTAGAAAAACAATAGAGGATAAACGCACAAGACCAAATAAAAAGATACTTGGCAAATGAAAGATGAAAATAATTCTGGAAATTAAAGAGTGGAGAAAGTTTTCTGTTTTCCTCTGTGCTGAAGAAGTCAAGAACAGATAATTATTTCCCAATCACATGTTTAGTTTCTTTGAAGAATATTATGCCATGCCACAGTTTTGCTGTGTTCTTTTGAAGTGTGTTTTCATTTGCGTTTTACCCTATTGCACTGCTTGTCGGGATTTTACAGGCTTCAGCAGACTTATGGGCTGACTACTAATCCACCTCATTCTGAATTTCTTCTTGATTGGTTCCTAAATTTGGTATAGCCCATGTTTCCAGGAACAAATCTGTGGTAGCGAGGGGGAGCGGGAGGGAAGTGAACGGTATCCCTAGCCTGTAATGTTAGTTAAGCTCTTTTCCCTGAAGAAAACACAGATGTTGATTTTTTTTCTTCCAGAAACACAGAGCAATATTTAGAAACCATTGTGAACACCTGGTTAGGAGCATAAATCCCTGCCTATGAAATAGATGTTATGCCTGATTTCCCGTGCCTGTTCCTTACTTTTCAATTTCACTTGATTACAGGAGATTTGGTTGCTTTCTTACAGGGTTAATTCAACTTCCCCTTGGCTTTTTAGTGCACCTGGGCTATTATGGGCATGGCATGAAGCTAAAAGCCACCTGATACCCATATGTTACCCCACTGAAAAGGTAACTATGACAAAGGAACCAAAATATGACTTATAATTACATTTTAGATTATACAGAAAACAGAGACCAAGTGATCAGAAAGCCTGCTAGAAGGACATAACCAGCCAGAAGGACATAACCAACACAAATCAACACCAAGCAAAACAGATACAAACACTGAAACTAAATCCATCAGTACTTTTATCTCTCTTCATTTTCTCTGTTGCTTGATGTATGGTCTCCCTGAATTACTCTTCTTGAGCTTTGACCCATCTGGCACATACTTAACAAGAAACTAAGGATAATATGCTGTATCCCATGCAGTCTAAATGACCTGACATTTCAATTTCTAAGCGTTACCTTTGCAATGGTTTTCATCCCAAGGATACACACAGTTCTGGAGTCCATTGCAGACCAATGTATTATTAATACACATATTACTGTGGCAAAAGAATGTGTTGGCTTCACAAGGGGCTAGAAACAAGAGAGAAAAAAACAATATTAAGTAGTAAATCATTCACCTCTCTGCAACAAACACATCTAGGAGTGATCATGTAATCTGTAATAGGAAAACACTACAGGTTCCTTGAGCATATTTTATATTCGACATGCAGCACTGAGACCACTCCACTCACACACCGTTTATTATTCTGTGGCAAGAGATTTTCAGTTCTAAGACGAGTGGGCTTTCCCACAGTCTGACTCTCATGGTTGTAGTGGCTTGGATCTCCATACATTGGTGGAGGATCATTGATGTGTTATCAACAGTTTTAGCTGCAGATCCAACACACAGCACCCTATGGGCTGCTGTGAATAAAAGTGAACTTTATCCCAGTCAGATCTGCTGTATAATTTGTTTTGAAGTTTGTCACTGAAACTTGTTTTACAAGAAAACTTGTGTAATTCAAAGAAGGTATGTACTTTAGTGCCCATATCAACAGTGCCTAAACCTTTATACATAGACAATAAAATTACACACCCCCAAATACGCAACCATCCACTCAGATATAACAGTATGCTTATACTGTGCCTCAGCCAATGCAGAAGACTGATCAGCCATGCTGGTTGTGACCATTGATCAATTTTTGGAAAAATGTGGTATACCATCTCCTAAGCTGCAGTGACCCTAGTCAGGTGTTAAGCTTCTTAGGATTTTACTTTAAACTGACAGAAAGAGGAGAACGGCACACATGCATATTAGCAAGGGAGGGTGCTTTGGGACAGCCCTTATCTGTCGCTGTCATTTGGGGATAGCGAGGGCTGAGCCTGGAGGATTCTGTGACACATCATATACGGAACCCACTGGAGGCACTATCATTCTTTCACACTCTAGCTGCAATCCCTGTTTCTGGACAAAGCGAGGATCTTTTAGGGCCAGTTCTTTCCAACACACAGAAAAAGTCTCACTGCCTGCTCTAGGCAAAAATGTGAAACAGAGAGGAAGAGAATTTTGAAAGTGAAACCTAAGAAAAGCTAAGCAGGCACCTATTCAAAATACATGGTAATAAGTAGGAAAGGCACAAGAAAATAAGGCCCAATTGATAAATAGAGAAGGCACAAAGAGTGACAGGGGAACAAGAAAAAAAAGAAAAGAAAAGAAAAGAAAAGAAAAGAAAAGAAAAGAAAAGAAAAGAAAAGAAAAGAAAAGAAAAGAAAAGAAAAGAAAAGAAAAGGAAGTGCAGGATTTTATGCTAATAAAGCCAAAAAGATTAAATAAAATAAAAAAAAACACCACCAAAACACAAAAAACCCTACACAGTGGCATGGAAGGCCTTAGAAGTGAAGTGGTGAGGACAGAGTGCTGTGTCTGAGTAGGCAGAACCTCCTAGATATGTATGACTTGCTCTTGTCACTTCAAAATCAGTCTGATTGCATCCTGAATGCAACAGCAAAGAAAGGATTAATAACGGAAAGCAACACCCAGAAGAATAGAGAACAATTTAAGGGAAAAAGGGACAGTTGTGTAAGGCAGAAATAAAGGAATTTAGAAGCATAGTGGTGGTAAGTAGAAAAGAACTAGAGGAAGGTAGTAAAGGAAGTGAAAGGAAGAAAGAGAACTGCACAACAGAAATTGATGACACTTAAGGCATTCTGCACTGAAAGGAATGACAAGAGATTTTATATCAAATAAAAAATATTAGGAAATGTTTCAGAAATAATAGAGAAAAAATAAGAGCAGCACAAAAGACATTTTTTTTTTTCAGATTTAAGAAGGGATAATTATGCAAAGTAACGGCAGGGAGATCTGGAAGTGAAAGGCAAGATAAAGGAAGAAAAAACAGAAATTTTCAGTTTCTCTGAATTGTGCTGTTGAACTATGGAGGAAAGGGTTAATATGTGAATAAATGTCAAAACTAGATGAATAGCAAAACAGAGAAATTTCAGAATAAGTACAGCCTATTTAGCATGAGAGAAACCCAAATGTAAGGTTCGTAAACCTAATGATAAACAGACCTCTCTTGTTCATGTTTATAAAATTAGCATGGTCAAGCCCTCTCTGTGATCCCTTGGACCTGGAGTGATTAAGCTGGACAAGAAATCTGTATATTTTGCCCACTCTAATGAAGGCTTTTTGTTGGAATGAATGAAAGCATCAAGGGAAGCTGAAAACGTGTCAGTCCCATTATACATCGGAGGAATCGTTTTTTTTTGTCCTTGAAGAGGTACAGCAAAGGTGTCTTGGTATGCTGCTTCAAGGACATTCTAGTAATAGCAAAAAGTCAAATTCTTTTACAAGAAGATGGATCTGTTTCTGATGCTTTCCTGAAGCTGTTACAGAACCCAGGATGGGAGTGAAATCAAGCAGATAAGGTATGTGGCAACAACACTTTTTAGCTTTACCTCAATCTTGAACATCATCTATGGCAATACTTCAATATATAAATGTTTAAACCTGAGGAAAGGTTGTGGATGTTTTCACAAAAGGAAGCTACTGCTATTATTTGGTTCAAATAGAGAAAGAATGCAGCACAAACCTCTCTGTCCAGCAGAAGCCCTAATCTATCAATCTACGGTCTTCTCCCTGAGTATATAAATGCCCTTTATATGAGAGAGCAGCAGAAACGCACAGAGCTCTGCCTTGGGTTGGGTGAGGAGCCAAGTGAGATTTTTTGAGTCAGGATTAGCACACAGCTACCAATATTGTAGTTGGTGTCTATCCGTTACGGACTACCTGATCAGGGACAAGAAGTAGATGAAACCTTCTTCAGACAGCTGGAAAAATCCTCATGTTCACAGGCCTTGGTCCTTACGGGGGATTTTAACCACTTGGTATCAGTGAAGGGAAACACAGCAGGGCAGAAGCAATCCAGGAAGTTTCCAGAGTACATTGATCATAACTTCCTGATACAGGTAATCAAGGAGCTGATGAGAGGAGCTCCACTGGGCCTTATAGTTTTATAAACAAGGAAGAACCAGTCAGGGATGTGAATGTCAGATGCAGCCCTGGCTGCAGTGATCATGAGATGGTGCAGGTCAGGATGCTGCAGAGAGGGAATAAAGTAAAAAGTAGGATCACAGGTCTGGGCTTTAGGAGAGCAAAATTTCACTGTTGAAGAGTGTTTGGAAGAATGCCATGGAAGGTGGTTCTGGAAAGATAAGGGTTCCAGGAGAGTTAGTTGATTCTGTAAAAGCACTTCCTCCAACCTCAACAGTTGTTTATTTGGACAAGCAGAAAATCCATCGAGAGCAGCAGTTAGCCTGCACAGATGAACAATAAGCTCCTGACGAGACTCAGACATAAAAAGAATGTGTACAATTCAGATGACCCCAGCAGAAACATAGAGGCACTGGCCAGAGGTGCAGTGATGCAGTTAGGAAAGCTGAAACCTACTTGGAATCGAATCTGTCAAGGGTTGTAAAGGGCAACAAAATTACTTCTACCGGTATGTCAGCTGCCAAAGCAAGATGGGAGAAAATGTGACTGTGATGCTGAATGGGAGAGAGGTCTTGGTGACAAAGGGAATGGAAAAGGCTGAGGTACTGAATTTCTTCTTCATATCCATCCTTTTTTTTTTTTGATGGGATTTGTCTTTTGGAGTTCCAAGCACTTGAGATAAGGGAGAAAGCCTGGAGCAAGAAAGACTTGCCCTCAGTGGGAGAGGAGCAGGTTAGGGAATATTTAAACGAACTGGACAGACATGAGACCATGGGTCCTGATGTGATGTCCCCAGTAGTTGGCTAATGTCATTGCGAGGCCACTCTTGATTATCTCTGAAATGTCATTGGTAATCAAGGGAGGTTTCCAAGGTCTGGAAGAAAGCAAATCTCCCCCCATCTTTGAGAAAGGTGACAAGGAGAATCCTGAGAGCTACATGTCAGTTAGCCTCATCTCAATCCCTGGGAAGGTGACAGAGCAAATAATCCTCAAAACCATTTCCAACACATGAAGGAGAAGAAGAGTGTTGTCTGCATGGAGTTATGAAAGGGAAATCATGCTTGACCAACATGACAGCCTTCTACAATTGGATTACTGGCTTGGTGAGTGAAAGCAGTGGATGTTGTGTTTTTCTACTTAAGAAAAGCTTTCACCCTGTTTCCCAAAACATCCTCAGACAAACTGATAAATATGGGCTAGATAAATAAACAGTGAGTGGGACTGAAAGTAGATAAACCGCTAAACTCAAAAAATTGTGATCAGTAGCATGAAGTCCAGCTCGAGGCCAGTCACTCGTGATGTACCCCAGGGTCAGTACTGAGGCCAATACTCTTTAACCTCTTCATTAATATCCTGGATGATGGGACAGAGTGTATCCTCAGCAAGTTAGCAGGCCGTGCAAAACTGGGAGGACTGGCTGATAGACCAAGTGGCTGGGTGTCTGTACAAATGAGCCTCAATGGGCTGGAGAATCGTGAACTTCAACCAGATCAACAAAAGGAAATGCAAAGTCCTGTGCCTGGGAAGGAATAACTTCATGCACTTCATGCTGGGGACACACTGTCTGGAAAGTGAGCTGTCAGAAAAGGTGCTGCTGTGCAATAAACTGACCATGAGCCAGCAGTGTGCCCTTGTGGCAAAGAAAGTCTCCAGTATCCTGAGCTGCATTAGAAAGAACATTGTCAGCAGGTTGAGAGATGTAATCCTCCCCCTCTACTCAACACTGGTGAGGCCAAATCTGCAGCATTGTGCCCAGTTCTGGGCTCCTCAGCACAAGAGACATGGACATACTGGAGTGGGTCCAGCAAAGGATCACAAAGACCACTAAAGGCCTGGACCATCTGACATGTGAGTCAGAGCTGAGAGAGCTGGAACTGCTCATCCTGGAGAAGTCTCAGAGAGGCTCTCATCAATGTGTACAAATACCTCATGGAAGGGAGTAAAGATGACAGAACCAGGCTCTCCTCAGCAGCATCCAGTGACATGACAAGAAGCAATGAGCTCTAAACAAATACAGGAAATGCCCCTTAAATGCAAGAACAAACTTTTACTTTGAGGCTAGTCAAACACTGTGCAGGATCTGATTTCCCAGAGAGGT